GAGAGCATATCTAGGTCCCCTAAGAGAGACAGAGCTGAGTAAAAAACATAAAGAGCTGTTTCACTGAAAACGATATATGATGTTGGGCCCAAGCTGTCTGCTTTGGGGTTCCCCTAAAAGAGGTCAACACAATGATCTCCATTCCTTCAGGCTACACCCTGTTTTGTCTGTATCACAGATCCTGGTAGGAGCCTGGAAGTGCAGAGCAGGGGAGTGGGGCACTGGGCAAGCTGTGTATGAGCAGAGGAGATATCCCCCTACCTCACGGGGCTCCCAGAAAACTAGAGGGGACCTGACTGTTAGTAGGCTTGGTAGGTAGAAGTGCCAGTGACATTCAAGTTATTCTTGCTAATTTGACCCCATTAGTACTGTGCTTGATGAGTTTGAATACTATTCCTCATCAAATAGCTCTTATGCCATGGTGTGTTATTGGGTAACTTATAATCATGCATAGAATCACACACTCTTTCAAGCAAGAAGGTGGAAAATATAGAACAGTGATTCTCAATCTTTGAAGCACCAGTTTTTACTTTCCAGTGGACTAATACTTTTGAAAAACACAATAAAAGTGAATTACCAGAATAATAAGATAAAAAACTGATGACATAAAAAATAAACCCCACTTAAAAGAAATTATTTTATTTTATTATTTATTTTTGGGGGTAATTAGGTTTACTTACTTATTTTTTTAGAGGAGGTACTTGGGACAGAACCCAGGACCTCATGCATGCTAAGCATATACTCCACCATTTAAGCTATACCCTCGAACCCCATAAACATTCATTTTTAATGATTAGATTTGGCAGATAGAAAATCACTCTGCCAAGTCATTGTAGAAGTTTCCTGAAGCTAATTTCAGTGCTTACTTAGCTGCAAACTGGTAATGATCAGTTGGTGGATGGGCACTGGTCTGCAGACCACATCGCTTACACTTTCATCCAAACTCTCACCTGATGCCACCTGGAAAAATTCTATCACCTGGAGTTCCTGCTTCTAGTCAGACACTGTGTTTATGCACAAGAGTGGCCTTGTTCTGAGGAGATGCATGCAGACTAATAATGTCTGCCGCTAAACCAAGAGGGAGAGAGAGAAAGGGAGAGAGGGAATAGGTAGGGAAGAGAGACAGGGAGGGGACAGAATGAAACAGACACCGTGACACAGACTACATCAATGGGGGCAAAATGTTAGTAACTGATCTATCTAAGCAGGTGTCCAGTTGTTTATTATCCAATTCTTTCAAATTTTCAGAAAATTTGCAATTGAAAAAAAAAACTCTCCAGTAATGGGAAACACACTTTTCCCCAAAAAGCCAGTTCTAAGATAGCTCATTTTCATGTTCAAATATAAATACTGCAGCTGCAGCATTCATTCGTCACTTCCCTTTCCACATGTCTAATCTCCACCTTTCACTCCTTTCATACTTTTCTCCCTATCGCCTATACCTTAGATACCCTTATGACATACCTGTAATCACATCACACCTTTAAAAATATTTTTCTAAATACATATTCTGTGTATATATATATATACATATATATATATATATATATGTATGTCATCTTTCCAAGTCAACCTTTTAATTCAAGATTTCCTGTAATCTAATCTTTTTCAGCATTTCAGCTTTGCTTTCTCATGGTTAGTTAACACTGTCCCAAATAAATTATTCTGCTTTTCCATGGTATTGCTTTTCAGTTCTAGAATTCCCCCTCACACAGAATTCTTTTCTATTCACTCTTCAAGATCCAGCCCAAATGACTTAAACTGAAATGTAGTTATCTATCTTACTTACACATCTGTTCAAATCCTACATGCTCCATGAAGTTTTCCTTAATTAACTCAGCCAAACTCAGCCAAAATCTCCATGGCTTAGTACAGTGCTTGTCAACTACACTTAAAATACACTTTTCAGTTAGACTCTCTGACAGTGCTTAATTGACAATAAAGGAGGATGCTAATACAGTCCTTGCCTACCTCAAAGGGTGGCTTTGAGTTTAAAATGTTTGTGGTCAGCATTTTACATATATGTATGTATATGTATATATGTATATATGTGTATATATATATATAAAATGCATTGAAGTATAGCCAGTTTACAATGCTGTGTCAATTTCTAGTGTACAGCACAGTGCTTCAGTCATACATGAACAAACACGTATTCGTTTTCATACTCTTTTTCACCTTAAGTTACTACAAGATATTGAATATAGCTCCCTGTGCTATACCGTATGAACTTGTTTATTCTATATATAGTAGTATCTGTAAATCTTGAACTCCTAGTGCAGTCAGCATTTTGCATTGTGTATATGTGTGTGTATGTGTGAGAGAGAGAGAAGGTATCTGTAAACCATAATGTCCCATACTGTTATTTATTATTTTTATTTTTGCTTTCCCTTGAGGGAAACGTGTGGAACATACAACAGCCGTACAGAGGCCTAAGGCAGTAGACATAATAATACCGGGTACTCATGGTATATGAAAACTTTCCAAGATGTGTAGGAGTGCGGAGTCCCTGTTTTCAAGCAATCAGTTCTCTGATTCTCACTTCCCTTATACCCAAAACTAATCTGCCTGAAAATGTGCCCTGGGGTCAGAGTGTAATGTGGGCTCTTTTCCAAGCTTCCTTTATCCCAAATGCCCCTCCCCTACTTTACAAAAGAAAGGCATAATTCTTCCCCACCCCACGTCTTACTAAGGTGCTGTACCCCTGGGATGCAGAAACCTCTAGGACCCAAAAAAGGAACAACTGACTGGTGAATGAGAATGAGTAACACATCCTTTTACAAGTCAGGTGGTTTTCAGTTACTTGCTTTCAACAAAGTTGAAAGAAAACCTAGTCAGAGTTGTCAGCTGTTAGATCATTAAAAGTATTTTTTCTTTGTTAGAACTTTATGTGATTTTTTTTGGCATATAATTTGGAAAGAGTTCAAAGAATTGAGTTGCATTGCAATAACAAAACTCTATTCATTCTCATGTACTTATTCATGTGAACAAGTTTTCTCAGTGCTTACATCCATGGAATTGAAAGCTTGGAACAGAATTGAAGCAACTCGTTCTCACTCTAGTAATACTCAGCTGCTGATAAATAATCTAGTTAAAAAGAAGTATTCAATTGCATCTTTTAAGATGCATTGCCAACAAAATTTTAATTTTGCGTTTAATATTCATTTTTAAATATTTGAAATACGTTTTGATCAGTGAGAATAGTAAGGCTTAGAGTGTTAGGATCACAGGAAATTTGCTAAACGACCCTTAAATTTCTATTTCTACACACATTTTTATTACAAGAAAATACAAGACGACCAACAAAACATTTCAGATATAAAATATATTGTTAGGATAAAATTCTGGAGGGGACGTGTAATGCAAATATGAGTTCCAGAAGATAAAGGATGGAAACTGCCCTAGTAGAAAAAGAGATTGTATTTTAAAAAGTGGATATTGGTGGGTATTAAATTCCTATGGTGTTTAGGGTTCATAGGCTACTTGTGACAGTCGTAAAACCTAAGAAGATAGGGAAAAAATGTGGATGTTACTTTAAACCATATAAGGATGTGCAAATTGTTTTAGAGGGCTGAGGAGCTAAAAAGTTTGATATCTTGAACATACGGTGACGGTGGTTTAATCGTTCCTCGGGATATTCAAACGCAGGTTAGATGAAAACCTGTCGCGCGTGTGGCTTTAGTACCTCGCATAGGTACCGTCTATCTTCAGTCGTTTGAATCGCCTCTCCTCGTAGACTGTAAGCGCGCAGAAGACCAGGGACTTGTTCGATTCTCGGCTCAGCGCCCGTACCCCGGGCACACTTCCCCGAACACCCCCGGAATGAATGACTTTATAGTGAGACCTGGGAGGGCCGTTAGCCTGTCGTTCCGCGCGCCCCGCCAGCCGCGAGGCCGCGGAAGGCGTGGGAAGGCCCCGCGGAAACTCT